CAAATGAAAATAAACGTCTACGTTCAACAGTTTGCCTAAAAAGAAAAAAAAGAAGTTCACAGTCTCCTAGTGCCTAATTTGGTCCTAGTAGTTTCGCTGAGAACAGTTTCATGGTTTCGATAATCTTTATTTGAGAAATAAGCTAGGAACTGTCAGAACCGTACCAATCAGCTGTCACTAAAGTAATCACGTGCAAGAACGCGGTGCCTCTTCGATCAGACCAGTTTGAAGTTTGTTGTTTGTTGGATTTTTCTTTTCTACTGTTATTGGAACTGCACAAGCAAAAACAAAAGGCTGAGAGAGAAAGGTGCCTGTAATACTGTGTTGTGAAATTTTATACCAATTTTTAGCTGACTGCGATAGATCTAAACGTGCCAAAAGCGAAGCTGCATGATTTTTCGTTTGTGTCGATCTGTGGACTGGACTGAACGTGGCGGCAAGCAAGTCACAATCATGAACAAAAGAAACGTTAAGTTTATAGTTTTAAGCCCGCTGATTGATTTTTTTTTCTCAATCATAATTGAATGTAACAAAAATTTTACGTCGTCCTTGGGGAAAATATCGTATACATTGTTTTAAAAACGCTTAAAACGAGCCAACGTGTCAGAAACGCGCAAGTCTCTCTCGATCTCTCAGTCATCTCAGACTCGATCGAGGATCAGACGGACGTTTCATGTTTTCTGCTTCTACAGTTGTGATTTTTTTTTTCTTTGAAATGGACCCTAGAGCCACCTAGAACGCGCTAATAGGATATAAAACTCCCGGGGGATTTCATAATCTCACACTCAGATCTCTTACTTATTGATGAAGCCAAAGGCGAGATCTGGTCAAATCCGATTTTGTACCCGTGATTGCGTGTCAGGAATGTGACAGGCCATGAAAGAGCGTATGCTTGAAATTAATTAAGAAATTAATTTAGTCACTTTAGGCCCGCGCTGATCATGACCGGAACACCACTTTTGTCAGCTTGAAATCCAATTTAACTGTTCAAGTTATTTAATTATAATCACTTGACACCACTGTGAATTATTTATCGGAACTGCCATTTTATGGCTTAACAGACAGGCGAGAATTCGCGAAAGCTGTGGGATCATGGGTGTACGATACTGTTCTTACGCTTGAAGGAAGAGATTTATTTGAGAACGTTCTTGAAAGCCCTAACAAAAACGATCAGTTCTTGAATATTTTAGGAAATTTAAAGATAGAGTCAAAATACTACACAATCAAGCAATCTGGCACGTGCTTTCAAAAATTTAACACAAGAGGCTTCTCAATATTCAATTGTAATATTCGGAGCTTAGGAAAGAATTTATGTCTGCTTAATGATATTTTGATAACCGTGAAGGAAGTGCCTAGCATTATAACTATTTCTGAAACTAAGCTAAACGACAATAATCAGCATCTTCACAATATTAATATACCTGGTTACAATTTTGTTGGCGTGAATTCTAGAACGAATGCTGGGGGAGTTGGTATTTACATAAAACAAAACCTGAATTTTTTTCGCAGGCGGGACTTAGAGTTTTCTTCTGACGGTTTTGAAACGTGCTTTGTTGAACTACCGAGAGAAAGGCAAAAGAGTATTATTATTAGTTCCATCTATAGACATCCTCACGGCACCGCCCAAAATTTCTGCGAACTTCTTAGGCAGAAATTAAATCATTTGAACAACTGCGGTTATGAAGTGTACATAGCCGGCGATATTAACATTGATTTTTACAAATATCACAGTGATAAGTTTACTTCTGAATATCTTGATATGTTATTCGATTTGGGCTACATGCCTCTTGTCACAAAAGCAACCCGGATAACCGATCACAGTGCTACTCTCATTGACCACATCTACTCAAATTCACCACAAAAAGTTTTAAAGTCTGGAATCTGCTTGGCAGATCTCTCAGATCATTTGCCATGTTTTTGTTCAATAGCCACCAAACGTCCAGATTACGCAGGTGACAGGTATTATAGGAACTATTCAAGATTTAATGAAGCCAGATACCTAGCTGACATAGCCACGGTAGATTTCTGTAGTTTAGTTACTAATGATGTGAATGACAGTATGGCAAAAATTATTTCTACATTAGAAGGAATGACTAACAAACATGCACCCATTGAAAGAGCATCACGATATAAACGAAAACTATTAAGAAAACCTTGGATTTCTAAAGGAATATTTCAATCTGTTAAAGAAAAGCAGCGTTTGTTTAAAACTCATTTTTTTTTTTCTGGCGACCCCCTTAAAATTAAATATTATAAAGCTTACAATAATAAACTTACTAAAATCAAGGACTTAGCCAAGCAGAAATACTTTAAGGAACAGTTTGAAATTAACAAAGACAATATGAAAACAACATGGAAAATGATTGACTTATTAATAAATGGAAAGAGAAAAAACTCCCCTACAATAAGTCAGATAGTCTATAACAACAAATGTTATACATCTAAATTGAGCATATGTAATCAGCTCAATACATATTTTGTTAATGTAGGCCCAACTTTA